ATGGAATCAAGTCCAATGTGATCTTTGAGAAGCGACTATATAAAATATGGTTTAGGAGTCAGTAGGAGTTGTTTAGAAAATTATCATCCCTTGCACCCTAAGAGATAGTTAATTTAGATTACTTTTCATTGTCTCCTTCAATAATAATAAATACTGCCAACATATTTCTGCTTGGCTCATGAATTTTTCAGGATTGGGAAGTTGAGTGTTCTGTCCCTATCAAATGAAACAATAGGTGACCCTTTTTCAGATGTGGCATCCATAATATGAAACAACCTTATGTTTGTAATCATCCCCTCTCTCATCTAACTATCAAAGTATGCTTGAGTCTCAAATACTAAAATCTGGCTAAAGGAGATTAGTCAGACCTCAGACTGTCAAATAACTTCATACCAATGAGGAAAGATTTGATATGGTCTAGGTTAAATTAGTTAAATAATAATTGGAGGAAGTTACCTAATTCCAATGGCCTATCTTCATTCTGCTTTGGGTGATTGTTCTTTTTTATCTGTTCTTAAAATAAGATTAAATTAATAATAAAGTAGATATGTACATTTCCATGCAATATTGATTACCAAATTTAATAACTATTGTAGGAATGAGAAAAATAAGTGAATGAACTTGAATATGATGTTCCATTCCTCTATTATGTAGGAATGAGAAAAATAAGTGAATGAAACTTGAATATGATGTTCCATTCTCTCATTCTTTTTCAAGCAGCTTCATTCATTTCTTTTAACAATTCAGCTGAGGAGACAGTCTTCCTGAATGAGAAAGGGAAAGAAACAGGTGGATTTGACATCACCAACTTGATCACATTTCCAAACAGATCCTTTCAAACAGTAAAAATTACGAAGATGGATCCCATGGCTCCAAAAGGGAAGAAATTATTCATTGATGAAGAGAGGATTGTCTGGCACCCAGTTTTTAACCAGGAATCGAGGCATTTAATCAACCCTGCTTTAATCCATTAATGAACATCAGAAATACAATTTCTATTTTTAAAATAAAAAAAAACACTGGCATATTCTTTGCAAATATTGTTAATGGTCAAGCATTCATCAAATTGACAAAATAACATTACAATGTAAAAGCCACATTTGTATATTTGGTTTGCATTTCCATTTGCATACAAAACACTTTTCACAGCATTGTAACATACAGGACTTTTTGCACAACATTGTAATTTCTATATCTTTTTAATGTCCACTATAAAATCTAGTTGATTCAATGCTCATTTGGGAAGTAAAAAATAATTTCAGTGCATTAAGAAGAAATATCAGAAACTGTTTTACAAAACCCTCCTTTTCAAAACATTTTCAAGTTTGTCACCAGATTCTTCTACTTTCTAGATGCAATGATGTTGTTTCCCTGGAATTTGGAAGAAAGGGATTGAGAGGATCAGTTCTGCTGCTATGACTGTATTCCATGCCCTGAAGGGAAGATTTCAAATCAAAATGGTAGGGTAGGAATTCTACCAATTTTCATTAGACTTAAGCAAACTTGAATATATAAGTTTAGGATGCATAAAATTAGTAAAGTGATTTTTCAATAATTTAGAAGGTATGGAGGACAAATTCTTGATTTTTCTTCCAGATATGTATGACTGTTTTGAATGTTCAGAAGATCATTATCCAAATAAAGAAAATAAAGAATGTATCCTGAAACGGGTGGTGTTTCTAATCTTTGAAGAAACCTTAGGAAATGGTTTTGTTTCTTCTTCTTCACATCTTGGGTACTTGGAACTTTTATTAAGCACAGGGATACTCCCATTGTCAAAGCCAACAACCGGTCTCTCACCTACATCTTACTTGTTTCTCTTCTGCTCTGTTTCCTCTCATCCTTGTTGTTCCTTGTCCAACCTGGCAAAGTGACCTGCCTTCTCCGACCATCAATGTTTGGCATCAGTTTCTCAGTGGCAATTTCTATTGTATTGGCCAAAACCATCACTGTAATTGGTACTTTCATGGCCACTAAACCAGGATCTCAAATGAGGGAATGGGTAGGAAAAGATTGGCTTTTTGTACTGTCCTTTCCTGTTCTCTCTTACAAGTGTGTATTTGTATTCTTTGGCTGTCAACATCTCCACCATTCTCTGAGATGGACATGCATTCAGAGCTCCAAGAAATTATTTTACAGTGCAATGAGGGGTCAGCTTTCTTTTTCTATTGTGTCTTGGGCTGCATGGGTGTCTTGGGCATCGCCAGCTTTGTTGTTCTTTTTCTTGTCCATAAATTACCTGACAGCTTCAATGAAGCCAAATTCATCACCTTAAGCATGTTGATATTTTTCAGAGTATGGATCTCCTTCTTTCCAGCCTCTCTGAGCACAAAGAGAAAAGCCATGGTAGCTGTGGAAATCTTCTCCATCATGTATTCCAGTGCTGCATTACTGAATACATATTCTTGCCAAAATGCTACATCATAGTTTAACAACCGGAGCTAAACCATAGGGAGAAATTCATAAAGAGGAATTAGTACATCATGTGATATTTCTGGTTCAGAAAAATTCCTGAAAAAAGAAATAGAAAGATAGTTTGCACTTTACAGGAAATATATACAGTATAAAACTTATAGAATCATAGAAGTTTTTATTCCTAGGAAAGAATGATTAATATAGAATATTTTTGATTATTAAGACTTACTGTTCATTCCAGAATAAGTTTTTATTTTGCTGCAATTTCACTAGTTTGCAAGATTTTTCAACACAGCTGTTGAACTAGACTTTCATAATGTAGCTTTCCTGGTTGCTATTAGGGTATTTCAGATATTGTCTTAAACTATATCCAATGTTTGCAGAGACATTTTCATGGATTTTATACTTTTGATTCATAAAGCATTACATAAATATAGTAAAATGCTAATTAACATTTGATGGGTATATATTTAATATAGTATATCAGTTTAGGATTTGTTAGAGTTCTTTGAAATGTACTTGTACTATACATTTAAAAGCATTTTTTAAAACTCCTTCATACTGGGTAATAACCTTACACTCTCTTTCCGTTAATTTATATTTCCACTGTAATCTGTTATCAGGTGTTAATGACATGGGACATTTATTGAAATGATATGAAATGTATTCTTCCTTCTGTCCCATCCTTTTTTCAAAGTGTATGCGTACCAATAAACATAATAAAGACTGATTTGGTTTGGTTTAAAATAAGAAGTCTGACATTTTTCAAGAAAATTAAATATGAAATTCAGCCTAAATCCTAGAAAAAATATACAAACGTCTCTGACAGAGGAAGAGACTCTGACAGAGGAAGAGACTACAAAGATGAAAATACCTGGAGGAAAAGTTAGAGTGTTCCACTAGATGGAGATTCAGAATAAGAGAGTTGGAAGGGACCTTGTAGGTCATTTAGTCCAACCCTCTGCTCAAGCAGGAGATCCTATACCATTTCTGGCAAATGGCTGTCCAATCTCTTCTTGAAAGCGTCCAGTGATGAAGCATCTACAACTTCTGAAGGCAAACTGTTCCATTGGTTGATTGTTCTCACTGTCAGAAAATTTCTCCTTATTTCTACTTGAATCTCTTTTGATCAGTTTCCATCCATTGTTCTTTGTCTGGCTTTTGGGTGGTTTGGAAAATAGGTTGACCCCCCTCCTCTCTTGGACAGCCCTTCAAATATTAGAACACTGTTATCATCTCATCCATGGCCCTTCTCTTCACTAAACTAGCCATGCCCAGTTCTTGCAACTGTTCTTCATATGTTTTAGCCTCTAGGCCACTAATCATCTTAGTTGCTCTCCTCTGCACTCCTTCTAGAGTCTCAACATCTTTTTTATTGTGTGGTGACCAAAACTGAATGCAGTATTCTAGGTGTCACCTACTAAGGCTTTATAGAATGGTATTAATACCTCACATGATGATAGATAGGTAGATATGTAGGTAAGCATGTAGGTAGATATATAGATAGATTAGATATGGTTAGATAGATGCTATCTATCTATCTATCTATCTATCTATCTATAAGATAGATAGATAGATAAGTAGGTAGGTAGGTAGATAGGTTGGTAGGTAGGTAGGTATGTAGGTAGGTAGATGATAGATAGATAGATAGATAGATAGATAGATAGATAGATAGATAGATAGATAGATAGATAGATAAAGATCCAACATGAGGACTCTGCTTCTGGTTATAGATACCATGCTGGTTGTTTCCATTGCTCCTCAGTAAAAATGTTTGGGAGTGGAGATTAATGTCAGACACAAAAAAACAGGTCCACACATGAAGGTTCAAGTAAACTGATTTATTGCTTAAAATCTATGCACAGAAATCTACTTCATGAATGGTCAGTGTATGGTTAGAACAAAATAAGGATCAATGGCATTCAAGGGGTGGTTGCACTTGTGGCAATGTAACTGATTCCTCTTTTCATTCATCCCTCTGATTCTACCACTCTTCTCTTACATAAATAAAATCACTCTTCATTATAGATATTGGGCAGCATACACTTTGAATAAAGGTTGACAAAGAAGCAAGAATACATTTCATTTCTTTTCAATAGATTTCCATATTACCACAAACTGATAATCAATTACAGTGGACCTATGTTTATATATAAAGAGTGAATAGTAATGATTCAACATGACATTTTAAAAACAAGGTGAAATGTACAGCATTCAGAAACTTAGTAAATTTATGCAGTGGTTTATAAATAGAAAGTATAAACATCATGAAAGTAGCATGTTAAACATTGGACAAGCTTTGAGTCAACATCTGAAAAGTAACAATTCATGAGAAATCAATTTTTTTCAAAGTCTCTTGAAGTAGAGTGTTGAAAGAGACAAAGCATTATATTCCATCATCTTGGAAAATAGTTGGAAATGAGAAACATTTCTTTGGGGCAATTATAATAAATCTTGCTACAAAGACTAATCCTTCACAAATCCTCCTTTGACAGAAATAAAACTTCTATATATTTCCTCTAGACAGCAAACAGTCTTTCTATTCTTTCTGTCACTAACGTCTTTGGGCCAGAAAGATCACATCACTAATTTCTCTTTGTGAGATGCTCCCTTTGGTTTAGTTCAGGCCGGAAAACAATGATGTAGCATTTTGGCAAGAATATGCATCCCAGTAATGCAGCACTGGAGGACAAAATGGAGAAGACCTCCACAGCTACCATGGCTTTTCCTTTTGTGCTCAGGTAGGCTGGAAAGAAGGAGATCCACACACTGCAAAAGGCCAACATGCTGAAGGTGATGAACTTGGCTTCATTAAAACTGTCAGGTAATTTACGGGCAAGAAAAGCCATAATAAAGCTGACAATAGTCAAGACACCCATATAACCCAATACACAATAAAAGAAGAAAGCTGACCCCTCATTGCATTGTAAAATAATTTCTTGGAGCTGTGAGTGCATGTCCAACTCAGGGAATGGTGGAAATGTTGACAACCAAAGAATACAAATACACACTTGTAAGAGAGAGCAGGAAAGGACAGTAGAAAAAGCCAATCTTGTCCCTACCCATCTCCTCATCTGAGATCCGGGTTTAGTGGCCATGAAAGCAACAACCACAATGATGGTTTTGGCCAGCACACTAGAAATGGCCACTGAAAAAGTGATGCCAAAAGTTGATTGCCGGAGAAGGCAGGTCACTTTACCAGGTTGGCTGAGGAAGAACAAAGAGGAGAGAAAACAGATCAGAAGAGAGACAAGCAGGATGTAGGTGAGGGACCGATTGTTGGCTTTAACAATGGGAGTGTCCCTGTACTTAATAAAAGTTCCAAGTACCCAAGATGTCAAGAAGAAGAAACCAAGAGCTGATGTGGCTAAACCAATTCCTAAGGTTTCTTCAATAGATAGAAACACCACTGGTTTCAGGATACATCCTTTCTTTTCTTCATTTGGATAATGATCTTCTGGACATTTAAAACAGTCATCCATATCTGGGAGGAAAGTCAAGAAATTTGTCATTTAGGAATTCCAAATCAGTGAAACCCATTTTATTAATTTTATACATTTTAAACATGTATATTACAGTTTGTTTAAGTCTGATGAAAATTGGTAGAATTCCTACCATACCATTTTGATTTGAAATCTTCCCTTCTGGGCATGGAACACAGTCATAGCAGCAGAACTGATCTCCTTCAATCCCTTTCTTCCAGTCCCCAGGAAAACAAGGGTCATTGCATCGAGAAAATGGAAGAACCTTACCATAAACAAACAAAAAAAATGTTTTGAAAAGGAGGGTTTTTAAAACAGATTCTGAATATTCTCCTTAATAGAGTGACATGATTATTGACTTCCCAAAAGGATGCTGAATTTAACAACTTGTTCAACAACTTAAAAAGATGTAGACATTACAATGATGTACAAATGTTTCTACTGAAAGGCAGGATGAGTAAATAATTGCACATGGTGACAATCTCATAGAAACATGGTCACTCTTGTGATTTCAGATGGAAATGCACACCAAATATGCAACCATGGCTTTTACATTGTAATATCACCTTTGTCAATCTGACGAATGATTGATCATCAACACCATTTGAAGGAATATGCCATTGTTTATTTTAAAAATTCCCAGAAGTTAGATTTTTAAAAAGATGTGTTCAGTATGGGATCTTAATCGAGTAAGGCATGCTGGATTCATTAATTCGATACCTGGTTAAAAGCTGGACTCCAGACAATCAAATCTTTATCCATGGATAATTCTTTCCCTTTTGGAGCTTGTGGATCCATCTTTCCAACTCTAACTCTCTGAAAGGATCTGTTTGGAAAAGTGATCAAATTGGTGATGTCGAATCCACCTATTGCTTCCCCTTTCTCATTCAGAAACACTTTCTCCCCAGCTGAATTGTTAAAAGAAATGCCTTGAAGAAATAGATGGAGCTAGTTGAAAGAGAATGAAAGAGAGAGGATGTTGAGAGCTATATAATAGAGAGGGGAAAATCATATTCAAGTTTCATTGTCATTCTTCCAATTGCTAAAACTATTATTAAATATTTGTGCTTAGAATTTGGATAATGGATATTGGAAAACTGACGAAAGAAGGAAGCAATCTGGAATTAAGGAGAAACTTCCCAACAGTGAGGACAATTCACCAGTGGAATAGCTTGCCTTCTGAAATCGTGGGCGCTCCATCACTGGAGGTTTTTAAGAAGAGACGGGACAGCTACCTGTCTGAAATGGCATAGGTTCTCCCGCTCGAGCAAGGGGCTGGACTAGAAGACTTCCAAGGTGCCTTCCAGCTCTATTCTATTCTATCTAAGTGCATGATAATGTACATGTCCACACTATATATTTAATTTGATATTAATATAAGGAAGGAAAGAATGAAAGAGTGCAGCAGAATTTAAAAATGATTCTGGAATTTTGTGATTTCTTCCAATTATGTTTTAGGTCCACTACTTAAACAACTAATTCAAGATAGGTCATATCTAATCTTTCCTCTTTGATAGAAAGTAATTTGACAGTCTGAGGTGCAACTAATGTTCTTTAGCCAGTTTTTAGAATGAGAGACTCCATAGAGGGATGCAAGATAGAGATTATTGCAAACATGTTGCATGTTTATACAGTACATCTTGATGATCAGAATAACAACAAAAACTACCTTTTCTGTGCCTATTTTAGACAGAACAGTGTTTCATAGTCAGAAGGGACCTGAAGGTCTTCTAATCCACCACCTTGCTAAAGGAGGAGATCCTATACTATTTCATATAAGTAGTCCTTCTCTTCTTAAAAATCTCCAGTGTCAAAGCATCTAAAATTTCTGAAGGCAAGTTGTTCCACTAATTCATTGTTAATTGTTCTCACCATAAGGAAATTTCTCCTTATTTCTAAGTTGTTTTCTCATGCTTGATTTCATATGGAGAAAATATTAAGACTTTACACAATGGGTTCAAAATATAATTCTACCTCAAACTGCTTATTGAAATAAAATAAGGGTCCAATGCAAAGGGAATACCTGCCAAGACTGGAGATGTGGAAGGTCAGAATTTTTACACATCATAGTTTTTTTTCTATTGACATGTAATGTGTATAGAGCTTGCAAAGCATGAGCCACAGCATGAACAGCATTGTAGATACTATAGCTTTGTCCAGTCATTTCCATTTCAAAAGCAGGTCCAGGAAGATCCTCTAGCTTCATCTCACCAGTGCACTGCCTACACTGTGTTTCTTGTAATTCTGTTTTTGGAAATGAACAATCAAATAATTGTTCCCAAATTTCCTGCAGAAACTCATCTCTGCAGACTGAAAGAGGACTGATGGTCTGAAGGAATTCCTTGAAACCTGCAACTGCTGTTGAATGAGCAGTGAAGGAAATAGCCCCATGGAACATCTGGAGATCCCAACTGATTTGAAATCCTGATAATACAAAATCAATTTGTGCAGTCATGATCCACACCTTTCTAAATAATGCAATTTCTTTCCTTTCAGGATCTACCATAAATGTGACAACTCTTAGCCACATAATTGTCAATGCTTCTCCATAGACAAGAAATGTGTTGGCTTTGCTAGTTATCCACTTCATGGAAATAATGGAGATTGTTTCATAAACTTCTGGGAAATCTTCTAAGTGGATGAGTTGTGCAAGCCTTTCTATGAACGATGAGCAGATTCCGTTCTCTGAAAGTAAGGGCTGCATTTTATGTAAGAATTTTTCTCCATCATTGTTATCAACAGCAAAAATCCCAATCCAGGTCCACCTGAAATGGTGAAGCAGTTGGATAATCCCAATGTACTGATGGTCCTCTTTTGGGATCATGAAATAAAGTGAAGAGAGTTTACTAGTCTGAAATACATCTTGAGCTAATGAGCCATATGTGAGCTGCAAGAAAGTGTAACGGTATTTTGTTCAGTTGATAGATCAAATGTAATTTTCCTGATTTAGTTTTCATATAAAATATATCAAAGGAAGGAATTATTTTCCTGAAATTCTTCTAAATATTAATATGGAAAGGAATTTCTTGGAATAACTTCAAACTCATATAATTGATCAATTCTTTTGATAGAAGCAAAGAATACTATGTTCAACTGTTTTTCCAGGTATGTAATGTCTATGGACTTCTTATATTTGCATTGTAGTTTCAAATTTATGCTAATAGACCTTAAGCCAGGTAGAATATCTTAATACAAACCTAAACCTAGTCTTAACGTTCCTTAATTATTCCATAACAACATCAAGGACAGAATATAGAATTTTTCTCTTTAACCCTTTCACAACTTACTTGTGGAATCTTGAAGAATTGAATAATTTCAGCAATATGAGACGATATGACAAAATCCAATCCTCCAATGATAGCCACAAGATTCTTCTGGCTATCACACTTGTAGTTAGGGACAAATTCCTGGGATTTGAAAAGCAGGTCCAGAGTGGTGCGATAGGTCATCCTTGCATTGAGGTAACTGTCATAGATGTGGAACCCAAGAGTGATGTTAGGTAACATCTGGGAGTCCTCATTGATTTCCTTCACAGCAAAGGCCAAGGCAAGAATGTGTTGATGAAATTTGGGGAATACACTGCAAAGAATTTAAATATCATAGTTGAAAATGTAAATTGACAATTCTCATAAAGTGGCAACATTTCTATACTGTATGAATAACAAATATTTCTTTCTCTGATGATAGTAGGAAGATAATAGCTTTCCTAAAATGCTTAATAATTCATACACAGTTTACATTTATTTTACATAGTATTTCCCTGACTTCCAACAAATATGTACTACAACAATTACAAGTAGTGACTTTTTTTCAAATTAATATATTTTCTATGTGATTTTCAAAAAATGGTATATGAATAGATTTAGGAGGTATCACTTGCATACTGTATGTGTATTTTGTGAGGAGAGATATGCAAATTTTTTCAAAAAATATAGACTTCTTGATCTTAAATTTTGTACATTTCATGTGAAAGATTTTGAAATAATCTAAAGTTTATGTCTTCTCTCACAACCAGGTACAATTCAAAAGAGGTTAAGTCATAGATTACAATAAAAACACTAAATTTATGCACAAAGATATACTCATATTAAAGATTCTTGAAAATTTGGATAAGTTTAGATAGATTAAAAAATTATTACCCTGGTATTTCATAAGGTTTTGTAGAAGGATTTTCACTAAATTTAATTTCATAAAGGTGGTAAGCAATGTGAGATGCCATCCCACCAACGATGAAGTCTCCAGGCTGGTACCACTCATGTGGAACAAGGAAAGCATCGCTTGCAGGGCATTTCAGAGAAACTACTTTGTACACCAAAAATATCAGAAAAAACATTTTCATGCTTTGTTAGTCTGAAAATGTTTTCCCTTCCCTCCTACTGATCAAGAGGTAAATATAATCCAATACTTCATCTAAAGATTGATCCAAGGCTTATCTCTGAGAATGCACCTAATGAGAAAAACTGTCAGTTTTTATTTAAAGATCCACATGAGCACAAAATTGCATCTTGAACACCATCAGGATATGAACAGATACTCTGGGAGAGGAAAACAGAGGGTAGAAAGCTGAAGCAAAGTATATGACAGAGCCATTATTACCCTTGTGCCAAACTTCCTGTGGTTGAAGTGTTACTTTATATCCAAACTGATACCTTGATCATTGCTGAATATAATTCCCTTCTATGCAGCCTTTGGTGTTTTGGCCTAGCTAAGAAAACATGGTGATTCCTGTAGTGAGATAATTGTTCTGTTTTGATGAGATAATAATTGGCCAATGGTTCAACTATTTTTTTTTAAAATGAGCAAATGTCAATGACAGTAATTTTTTTTTAAAAAAGTTTTTTATTTATAAAAAAGTTAAAACAAAGATGGACATAACATAACATTCCAGTGTATATATTCCTAACAATTTGTTCCTCATCATACATATAATTCTTAATTTCTATATATACATATTTTTCTATACAATACAGTCTCTAATTTGTTTCTCTATATACTGACATACAGTTTTATATATCTCTATCTTAATGCTAACTTAAAACCCAAACATTTCTCCTTGATTTACACCAACAACAGAATTTGTCCCAGATTTCAAAGTAATCTGACTCTCTCTTGTCCTTCATTTCCATTGTGAGCCTATCCATATCAGCACACGATAAGATTTTATATAAAATCTCTTCTTCTGTTGGAATTTCTTTATTCCTCCAGTTTTGTTCATACACCAATCTAGCAGGTGTGAGAATATGTAGCATCACATACAATATCCCTTTGTCGTATTTCTGCATAATTATGCCTAATAGAAAGAGTTCTGGTTTTAGCTCTACCTCTATCATTAGTATTTTTTCCTGCCATTTTTTAACCTTGTTCCAAAGTCACGGGCTTTTGAACACTCCCACCACATGTGGTAATATGTCCCTCTTGCCAATTTACATTTCCAGCACGTGGAAGAAATATTTGGACCCATTTTAGCTAATCTTGTGGGTGGGAGATGCCATCTGTAGAACATTTTGTAGAGGTTTTCTTTGTAGGAGGTGGCCAAAGTAAGCTTCCTATTTCGTACCCATAATTCTTGCCAGATATGCAGATTCAAGTTGAGATCAAAATCCCTGCTCCACATTAACATGGTTTCTTTTACCTGTTCCTCATACATTGCCTGATCTAACAAATAATGATATAGCTTTTTAATCATTTTATCCTCAGTACCAAGTAATATTTTATCCAGCCCTATCAGTTCTATTTTTATGCCTCACTCTTTTTTATCTTTCCAATATCTCGCCTGTAGTTGAAGGTATGCCCACCATTCTAGTTCTATCCCTTCGATCAATGACAATAATTTAAGGGAGATTTGTAATAAAATATATGCTTAGTTGTAGAAAGTGTTGTTTGAAGCTACCACATTGATTTTCTACCATTTTTTCACAAAATAGAATATGAACAGATCCACCAGGTATCAGTCTTTTATTGCTTGTATGTTTTGTGAGGAATAACAATGCACAATTTTTTAAAAAAAATATTCCTTGAGCTGACTAAAAATCTTCAAAATATTTCTTGCACCAAAGTTTCCTACATTCTATAGCCAACACTTAACAAAATCTAAAGAATCTTATTTCTTCTACCACAACTAGAAATATTTGAAAGACAGAGTGGCTTACATTAGAGATACAGTAAAGCCTTTTGCTCATTTCAGCAATTTGGGGGGAACTGGCTAAGATTATAAAAGAAAAAAAAACCCTCTTTACATGGCATGTCATAAAGTTTTACACAAAGATGTTCCTTCAATTTCAGTTCATAGAAATGATAAACTATATTGGATGTCATGCCACCAATTAATAAATCACCACTCTGCATAGAGGTCTATAAAAGGCTGCCCTTGAAAAGTATCTGGAAGCTCCAGTTGATTCAAAGTGCAGGCCCCTGTATGGTTATATGCAGACCCAGATTATACATATGCCACCTTTCTTGTGGGAGTTGCATTGGCTGACAATTTGCTTCCAGGTACAATTCAATGTACTAGTTGTCACCTTTAAACCCTACATGGCTTGGGACCAAGTTATTTGAAGAACTGTCTTCCTGATCAGATCCACATGATCCACTAGAGCAAGGAGGCAGGCAATGTTTAAATTGGCTGCCACTTTGACACTCTTTTGCAAAGACATGAGCATATGGTTTTGCAAGTAGGTCTGTGGAACTCAGACTAGGTTGGAACCTATGAAGTCACTCAACTGATTAATTGTAATCCACGCAGGTGTGTTTTTATTGTTTATATATTGGGTTTTATTTTTTTTTTAAGTAGCTCAGAGACACTGACTGTCAACACTACAAATGAATTTGGCTGCAGCCATTTTCATCTCATTTTTCAGATGCAACAGAAATGGGAACGAGGTGTGTGTATTCTTTTTGTCTAGCTAAAACCCTAAAGGTCATTGCTACCAGAGTTTTGGCAGGTAGAAATGTCTGCTAGAAAGTCCGCTAAACTAGCGCATTGGAGAATGTGATTTATGACAGAGAAATGGTGTGGGAAGTTCATCTTTGTAACTTTGGAGGAAGGGAACTTTAGTCTTGGTTTCACCTTTGTTCATGCTGATACTATGTAGCCATTAAAAATTGTGTTTGAGGAAAGCAATTGTCTCGGAGTCCTTTTTTCTAATGGGTTCATCTATCGGAACCATGACATTGACAGTGAGTGGGAGGCCATAAAATTCTGTGAAATAAATAAATAAATAAATAAAACTCCACACAATGATGTTTCATAAGGTTTTATTCAAGGATGTTCCTTAAATTGCAATTTATATGTAGCGGAGCTGGGATGAGAATGGGGCCAGCTGAGAGGTTTTGCGGGAGCTCCAGCAACTGCTGTCGGTCTGGTGGCAGGATGTGGCTCTGAGAAGGGAAGAAAAGGGAGGAGGAAACTGATGGGAGAGGAAAGAGAAAGATACTGGAAAGTAACAATTGGTTGCACATTGAGCAGAGCCAGCTGAGCGATTAAAGAGAAAGAGACTGGAAGGTGTTGTTTGGCTGGATATTGAGAAGAGCCAGATGAAGAAGAGATAGAGAGAGAGCAGCTTAATGGAGCTTGCCATCCAGAGCCAGCTGAATGAAGAAATAGAGATAGAGTAAGAAGGTGGGATCTTTGTGTTTTTCTGCTTTGTTGCAAGCAAGCCGGACGAAGACAGGGGATAGAGAGTGAGAGTAGCTTGCTGAAGTTTTTATTGTTTTTTCTTCATTGTGGCAGACCACACAAAGAGAGGATAGGTTGGGGAGTTTTATTTCTTTTCCCTTATTGGAGCCAAATGGGAGGAGGGAGAGTAAGGAAAGAGTTTGACCGGATTGAGGGTATGTCTTTTAGTGGGAAGTAGAGGAGTTTTTAAAGGATTAGCTTGTGGAAACAAAAAGGGGATAAGGAAGGGGGATTACATATAGCGAGGGGAGAGAGAGAGAGACAAGGAGAGTGGAGAAAGGAGGTCCCCTTTGAGCTCCAGAGAGGAATTGATTATCATCATCTTAGGTAAGTTGCTTTCACCAGATACTAACTACCATTGCTCTAGGCAGGTTGCTGTTACCAGAGACTGATTACCATTGCTCTAGGCAAGTTGCTGTTACCAGAGACTGACTAACATTGTCTTAGGAAAGCTGCTGTCACCAAAGACTGACAACCATTGGCTTAGGCAAGTTGCTGTCACCAGAGACAGGCAATCATTGTCATAGGCAAGCTGCTACTATCAGAGACTCATTAACATCATCCTAAGCAAGGTTACTGTTACTAGGGACTGACTACTACTATTGTACACTAGCTGCTGTTACCAGGACCTGACTACCATCGTCTCCTGTAGGTTTTACTGTCTGAGGTCAACTATCACCATCCCACATGAGTTACTATCAAAAGAGATTAACCATCACCTCCCCATGGGCATGGCTGCCAACTTTGACTGAACATCACCATGCTACATGCCCTGTTAGGCAGAGGTGCCAATGTGAGAGACCCCTTGGGTCGGCAGCCAGCCGAATAGGGGGCCAAGAGGGTCAGGACTTTAGCGCTCCCTCCAGGAGTGGTGCTACATATAAAACTGGTAAAGCATGTGGGACATCATGCCACCAATGATGAGAACAGAGGAAGTATCACTTGCAGAGTAGTCCAGAGTAACAAGTTTCTATCTCAATTAGGGTTGCATGTGCACTATAATTTGGGCCACTTGCCCTGTCCATAGGGTCTGTTTATCTATCTATCTATCTATCTATCTATCTATCTATCTATCTATCTATCTATCTATCTACGTTTCTACCTACATACTTATATACCTATATTTTATCAACATCAAGTGAATATTCAAAATTTTCTTTGTTTTTTTTCACATTTGTAGTTCCTATATCAGAGCAGGCTGTACATGTTTTCTAGGATTTGTGCTGAATTTTAGATGATTTTCTTGTAAAAATTCTTATTGTAAACCCATTCAAATCACTCTTTGTTATGGTCATTGGTCAGCATACACTTTGAATGAAGGATGAGACAGAAGGAAGAATATATTTCATTTCACTACATTTCCCATATTATTAATATATGATAACAGGTTGCTCGGGAAATGGATTTATTGATAGAGTGAATGGTTATGAACCAGCATGAACACCTATTTCAAGATGCAGTTAAATGTACAGGATTCACAAACTCAATACATTCTACATTTCAAGAGCCCTAAAATATTCAAACCTGCTATCATATAATAGTATGCTCAATACACATTGATAAAATGACAAAAACAGTTCTTACTATATTTATGTAGTGCTTTATTCTTTTTTGTCACTAATTTCTCTGGGCCAGAAAGATCACATGTTATACTAATTTCTCTTTGTGCGTTGCTCCCTGTGCTTGATGTCAGCCCAGCAAACAATGATATAGATTTTGGCAAAAATATGCATCCCAGTAATGCAGCACTGAAGGACAAGACAGAGAAGACCTCCACAGCTACCATGGCGTTTCCTTTTGTGCTCAGGGAGACTAGAAAGAAGGAGATCCAAACACTGCAAAAGACCAACATGCTGAAGGTGATGAACTTGGCTTCATCAAAGCTGTCAGGTAATTTATGGGCAACAAAAGCTACCATAAAGCTGGCAGGAGCTAAGATATACTTGTAGCCCAAGTCACAATATCTAAGTATATTTCATTGATCCATTGATTTAGTCACTTTGTTGAAGAATGAAATAAGATTTATTTGGCATGACCTCTTTTTGATGAATCCATGTTGCTTGAGCTGGGGGATGAACTAGAAAACTTTCAAAGTCCCTTCCAACTCTGTTATTTTGTTATTCTGCTACAGGTTATAACCTTGTTTCAAGGTGTTGGAAGATTTGTTTCTTGATTATCTTTTTCCAAGATCTTTCCAGATATTGATGTCAGGCTGATTGATCTATAATTTCATGGATCTCTTTTTTTTCTCCTTTTTTGATTAAGGACATCACAATGTCCTTAATCAAAAATTAAAATAAATGAAAAATGAGAGGAGAAACAAAGGTAGTGAGGGGAAATTACAGATATAATAGCAATCTCAGAGGACCTAGAGAATAACCTGGCATAGAAAGAGTGTTGAGCTTCTTTTTCTTTAAAATTACTTCCAACTCTAAGATTTAGATCAGAATTTCATAGTACGAATTTCTGTCTTTACTCTTTATCACTTCCCACAAGAGATTTCTGTACATAAACTAATATCCTGTTTTTAACTTTTGAATTATAGAGAAACCCAAATGGAAAAGGCCCAAATATCAGGCTCGTTCCTGAAAATTCTACTAAAAACAATCTTTGATTTTGTGAAGAGGTGAAAATTGCACGTAAATGTCTTCATTTCTATCATCAATAGATCAGCAACAGAAAATAGCTCTAACTACTTTAATAAGTACTTCAATTCATTTTTCCATTTCATTAAAATGTGAAATCAAGTTACCTAAATGAAATCCTTATGTAATTATGGTCACTAGGACTTCCTATTCTTGTTTGTTAGGAATTTCTCCTAGTGAGAAAAGTCACATGTTATACTAATTTCTCTTTGTGAGATGCTCCCTTTGGTTTAGTTCAGGCCGGAAAACAATGATGTAGCATTTTGGCAAGAATATGCATCCCAGTAATGCAGCACTGGAGGACAAGATGGAGAAGACCTCCACAGCTACCATGGCTTTTCCCTTTGTACTCAGATACGCTGGAAAGAAGGAGATCCACACGCTGCAAAAGGCCAACATGCTGAAGGTGATGAACTTGGCTTCATTAAAGCTGTCAGGTAATTTACGGGCAAGAAAAGCTACAATAAAGCTGGCAATGGCCAAGACACCCATATAGCCCAATACACAATAAAAGAAGAAAGCTGACCCCTCATTGCATTGTAAAATAATTTCTTGGAGCTGTAAATGCATGTCCAACTCAGGAAATGGTGGAGATGTTGACAACCAAAGAATACAAATACATACTTCAAAAAAGGAGCAGAAAAGGACAGTAGAAAAAGCCAATCTTTTCCCTAACCATCTTCTCATGTGAGATCCTGGTTTAGTGGCCATGAAAGCAACAACCACAATGATGGTTTTGGATAGCACACTAGAAATAGCCACTGAGAATGTGGTTCCAAAAGTTGATTGTCGGAGAAGGCAGGTCACTTTACCAGGTTGGCTGAGGAAAAACAAAGAAGAGAGAAAACAGAGCAGAAGAGAAACAAGCAGGGTGTAGGTGAGGGACTGGTTATTGGCTTTGACAATGGGAGTGTCCCTGTGCTTAATAAAAGTTCCAAGTACCCAAGATGCCAAGAAAAAGAAACCAAGAGCTGATGACGCTAAACCAATTCCTAAGGGTTCTTCAATAGTTAGAAACACCACCCGTTTCAGGATACATCCATTCTTTTCTTTATTTGGATAATGATCTTCTGGACATTCAAAACAGTCATCCATATCTGGGAGGAAAGTCAAAGAAATTTGTTATCTAGGCATTCCAAATCAATGAAACTCATTTTATTAATTTTATACATCCTAAATGTGTATATTAAAGTTTGCTTAATCTGATGAAAATTGGTAGAATTCCTACCATACCATTTTGATTTGAAATCTTCCCTTCTGGGCATGGAACACAATCATAGCAGCAGAACTGATCCCCTTCAATCCCTTTCTTCCAGTCCCCGGGAAAACAAGGGTCATTGCATCGAGAAAATGGAAGAACCTTACCATAAATAAATAAAAAATGTTTTGAAAAGGAGGGTTTTTAAAACAGTTTCTGATTTTTCTGATTTCAGATGGAAATGCACACCAAATATGCAACCATAGCTTTTACATTGTAATATCACTTTGTCAATCTGACGAATCATTGATCATCAACAACATTTGAAGGAATATGCCATTGTTTAGTTAAAAAAATCCTGAAATTAGATTTCTAAGGAGACTATATTCAATATAGGATCCTAATGGATTAAGGCATAGTAGATTCATTAATTCAATACCTGGTTAAAAGCTGGACTCCAGACAATCAAATCTTCATCCATGGATAATTCTTTCCCTTTTGGAGCTTGTAGATCCATCTTTCCAACTCTAACTCTCTGAAAGGATCTGTTTGGAAAAGTGATCAAATTGGTGATGTCGAATCCACCTGTTGCTTCCCTTTTCTCATTCAGGAACACTTTCTCCCCAGCTGAGTTGTTAAAAGAAATGCCTTGAAGAAATGGATGGAGCTACTTGAAAGAGAATGAAAGAGAGAGGATGTTGAGAACTACATAATAGAGAGGAGAAAATCATATTAAAGTTTCATTCAATCATTCTTCCAATTGTTATAACTATTATTAAATATATGTGCTTAGAATTTGGATAATCAATATTGCATGATAATGTACATGTCCACACTATATACCTAATTTAATATTAATATAAGGAAAGGAAAGAATGAACTGAAGCAGAAAGTAAAAAAAAGATTCTGGATTTTTGCAACTTCCTTTAATTAAGTTTTAGGTTCACTATTTAAACAACTAATTCAAGATAAATCATATCTAATCTTTCCTTATCAATACAAAGTTATTTGACAGTCTGAGGTCTGACTAATGTCCTTTAGCCAGTTTTTAGAATCTGAGATCCAAGCATTCCTCCATAGAGAGATGCAAGATAGAGATTATTTGGCGAGCAACACCAAAAGTCATCTCTATGTATTTATTTCATTTTATTAAAAGTATCTTATATATGAATGTAAGAAGAATGTATGCTAACATCTGATAAATATCACGGTATATGTATGGGGGAGAGTTTGGAAAAATAAAAAATATTTTTAAAAAATGATAGAGATTATTGCAAAAATGTTTCATACTATGGATGCCTCATCTAAAAAGGACCATTTTTATTTCATTCCTCTAAAACTCTGATAGAGATAGGAAGCTCAGCTTTTTACCCATGAAAAGTTCATGAGCCACACAAAGTTTTTGGGGAATTGACTGTTTTTGGAGAAGGCAATGACAAGTAATCTAAATTATCACTTTAACTAGCTCATATTGTGCAATGTATGGTGATTTAGTAAATAAAGTCTGCTGATATATAAACCATAATTTATACAGTAACTTCTCAATGGCCAGAATAATAACAGAAACTACTTTTTCTGTAGAAAAAGAATAGTATGTCAGAGTCAAAAGGGACCAGAAGGTCTTTTAATCCTATACTATTTCAGACAAATGGTTGTCCTTCTCTTAAATATCACCAGAGTAGGAGCATTCAAAAATTTGGAAGGCAAGCTGTTCCACTAATTCATTTTTAATTGTTCTCACCATCAGGAAATTCCAACTTATTTCTAAGTTGTTTTCTCAAGCTTGATTCCAAATGCAGAAAATATTAAGACTCTACACAAAAAATAATTCTACCTCAAACTGCTTATTGAAATACAAGAAATGTCCAATGAAAAGGGAATACCTGCCAAGCCTGGAGATGTGGAAGGTCAGGATTTTTACACATCATAGTTTTTTTTCTATTGGAATGTAATGTGTATAGAGCTTGCAAAGCATGAGCCACAGCATGAACAGCATTGTAGATACTATAGCTTTGTCCAGTCATTTCCATTTCAAAAGCAGGTCCAGGAAGATCCTCTAGCTTCATCTCACCAGTGCACTGCCTAGTCTGCGTTTCTTGTAATTCTGCTTTTGGAAATGAACAATCAAATAACTGTTCCCAAACTTCCCAAAGAAACTCATCTCTGTAGACTGAAAGAGGATTTACAGTCTGAAGAAATTCCTTGAAACCTACAACTGCTATTGAATGAGCAGTGAATGAAATAGCCCCATGAAACACCTGGAGATCCCAACTGATTTGGAATCCTGATAATACAAAATCAATCTGTGCAGTCATGATCCATACCTTTCTAAATAATGAAATTTCCTTCCTTTCAGGATCTACCATAAATGTGACAATTCTTAACCACATAATTGTCAATGCTTCTCCATAGACAAGAAATGCATTGGCTTTGGTATTTATCCAATTCCATGAAATAGTTGAGATTGTTTGATAAATTTGTGGAAAGTCTTCTGGGTGTACTCGTGAAAGCCTTTGTATGAATGATGAGCAGATTCCATTCTTTGCAAGTAAGGGCTGCATTTTCTGTAAGAAATTTTCTCCATTGTTGTTACCAATAGCAAAAATCCCAATCCAGGTCCACCTGAAATGGTGAATGAGTTGGATAATCCCAATGTACTGATGGTCCTCTTTTGGGACCATGAAATAAAGTGAAGAGAGCATACTGTTCTCAAATTCCTCTTGGGCTAATGAGCCGTATGTCAGCTGCAAGAAAGTGGAGTAATATTTTCTTCAGTAGTAAGATCAAATGTAATTGTCCTGATCTAGTTTTCATATAATATATATCCAAGGAAGGAATTGCTTTTGTTAAATTCTTCTAAGTATAAAAATGGCAAGGAATTTCTTGGAATTACTTGGAACACATATAATTGATCAATTCTTTGGTAGAAGCAAAGAATTCTATGTTCACGTTTTTCCTCACGTAGGGAATGTCTACAGATATTCACTTCTTGTATTTGGCATTGTAGTTTCAGAATTATGCTAACTAATAGACCTTAAGCCAGGCAGAACACCTTTTTTCAAACCTAAGCTAATCTTAACACCTCTTAATTATTTCATAACAACATCAAGAACAGAACATAGAATTTTTCTGTTTAACCCTTTCACCACTTACTTGTGGAATCTTGAAGAATCTTGTAATTTCAGCAATATGAGATGATGTGACAAAATCCAATCCCCCAATAAAAGCCACCAGATTCTTCTGGCCATCACACTTGTAGTTAGGAACAAATTCCTGGGATTTGAAAAGGAGGTCCAGAGTGGTGCGATAGGTCATCCTTGCATTGAGGTAACTGTCATAGATGTGGAACCCGAGAGTGATGTTAGGTAAGGAATGAAAGTCCTCAGTGATCTCCTTCACAGCAAAGGCCAAGGCAAGGACGTGTTGATGAAATTTGGTGATTATGCTACAAATAATTTAAACCCCCCATTGAATTTTTTTTACGAGCCTTGTAAGTTGGCATCATTTCCATATAAGTAAGAAACATCTTATGGTAGTAAGAAGACAATAGCTTTCCTAAAATGCTTAATAATTTGTACAGAGTTCAAATTTATTTTAAACAGTATTTCCATGATTTCCAACAAATATGTACTACAACAAATACAAGTAGTGGCCTTTTCAAAGTAATATATTTTCTATCACTTATTTACTGTATATTTGTTTTATTAAAGAGAGATAATGCCAAACCTTTTTTAAAACATTCTTTATGTCAGTAATTGTTCAAATAGAGACTTCTTGATTTTAAATTTTGTACATTTCATGTCAAGGACTTTGAAAAAAATCTAAAGGTTATTTTTCCTCTCACAATGAGGTACAACTCAAAAAAAGAAGACATAGATTACATCAAAAATTCTAAATGTATGAACAAAGATATTTTTGTCATATAAAGGATTTTGAAAGTCTGGGTAATATTAGATAGAGAAAAAAATTCTTACGTTGGTATTTCATAAGGTTTTATAGAAGGGTTTTCACTAAATTTAATTTCATAAAGGTGGTAACCCATGTGAGATGCCATCAAACCAATGATGAAGTCACCATGCTGATACCACTCATGTGGAACATTGAAAGCATCACTCGCAGGACATCTCAGAGTAACTACTTTGTGCACCAAAAATATCAGAAAAAACATTTTCATGCTTTGTTATTGTGAAAATGTTTTCCCTTCCCTCCTACTGATCAAGAGGTAAATATAATCCAATACTTCATCTAAAGATTGATCCAAGGCTTATCTCTGAGAATGCACCTAATGAGAAAATCAATCAGTTTTTATTTAAAGATCCACATGAGCACAAAATTGCATCTTGAACACCATCAGGATTTGAACAGATACTCTGGGAGAGGAAAACAGAGGGTAGAAAGCTGAAGCAAAGTATCTGACAGAGCCATTATTACCCTTGTGCCAAACTTCCTGTGGTTCAAGTGTTACTTTATATCCAAACTGATACCTTGATCGTTGTTGAATATAATTCCCTTCTATGCAGCCTTTGGTGTTTTGGCCTAGCTAAGAAAACATGGTGATTCCTGTAGTGAGATAATTGTTCTGTTTTGATGAGATAATAATTGGCCAATGCTTCAACTATTTTTTTTTAAATGAGCAAATGTCAATGACAGTAATTTTTTTTTAAAAAAAAGTTTCTTATTTATAAAAAAGTTAAAACAAAGATGGACATAACGTAACATTCCAGTTATATATTCCTAACAATTTTTTCCTCATCATATATATAATTCTTAATTTCTATATATACATATTTTTCTATACAATACAGTCTCTAATTTGTTTCTCTATATACTGACATACAGTTTTATATATCTCTATCTTAATGCTAACTTAAAACCCAAACATTTCTCCTTGATTCACACCAACAACAGAATTTGTCCCAGATTTCAAAGTAATCTGACTCTGTCTTGTCCTTCATTTCCATTGTGAGCCTATCCATATCAGCACACGATAAGATTTTATATAAAATCTCTTCTTCTGTTGGAATTTCTTTATTCCTCTAGTTTTGTGCATACACGAATCTAGCAGGTGTGAGAATATGTAGCATCACGTACAATATCCCTTTGTCGTATTTCTGCGTAGTTATGCCTAGTAGAAAGAGTTCTGGTTTTAGCTCTACCTCTATCATTAGTATTTTTTCCAGCCATTTTTTAACCTAGTTCCAAAAGTCATGGGCTTTTGAGCACTCCCACCACATGTGGTAATATGTCCCTCTTGCCAATTTACATTTCCAGCACGTGGAAGAAATATTTGGACCCATTTTAGCTAATCTTGTGGGTAGGAGATGCCATCTGTAGAACATTTTATAATAATAATAATAGTAGTAATGTTGGAAGGGACCTTGGAGGTCATCTAGTCCAACCCCCTGCTCAGGCAGAAAACCCTACACCATTTCTGACAAATGGCTGTCCAGTCTCCTCTTAAAAATTTCCAGTGTTGGAGCATTTACTGCTTCTGGAGGCAGGCTGTTCCACTGATTAATTGTTCTCACTGTCAGGAAGTTTCTCCTTAATTCTTGGTTGCTTCTCTCCTTGATTAGTTTCCACCCATTGCTTCTTGTCCTGCCTTCAGGTGCTTTGGAAAATAGCTTAATTCCCTCTTCTTTATGGCAGCCCCTGAGATGTTGGAATACTGCTATCATGTCCCCCCTTGTCCTTCTCTTCGTTAAACTAGACATACCAATTCTAGCAACCGTTCCTTATATGTTTTAGCCTCCAGTCCCCTAATCATCTTTGTTGCTCTTCTCTGTACTCTTTCTAGAGTCCCAACATCTTTTTTACATCGTGGTGACCAAAACTGGATGCAGTATTCCAAGTGTGGCCTTACCAAGGCATTGAAGAGTGGTATTAATACTTCATGTGATCTTGATTCTATCCCTCTGTTAATACAGCCTAGCACTGTGTTGGCCTTTTTGGCAGCTGCAGCACACTGCTAGCTCATATTTAGGTGATTGTCTACTAAGACTCTGAGGTCCCTCTCACAGTTACTACTATTGAGCATGGTGCCACCTATGCTGTACTTGTGCATTTGGTTTTTCTTGCCTAAATGTAGAACCTTGCTTTTTTCACCATTGAATTTCATTTTGGTAGTTAGTGCCCAGTGTTCAAGTCTGTCCAGATCCTTCTGTATCTGAAGCCTGTCTTCTGGAGTGTTGGCTATTCCTGCCAGCTTGGTGTCGTCTTCAAATTTGATGAGTTCCCCATCTATCCCTTCATCCAAGTCATTGATGAAGATGTTGAAGAGTACTGGGCCCAGAACAGAGCCCTGGGGCACCCCATTACACACTTCCCTCCATATAGATGCAGTTCCATTGAGGACCACTCGCTGAGTATGGCCGGTCAGCCAGCTACGGATCCATCTGGTGGTGGTTCTGTCTACCCCACATTTTTCTATCTTGTCAAGTAGTAGGTTGTGATCTACTTTATCAAATGCCTTACTGAAGTCCAAATAAATTATGTCCACAGCATTCCTCTGATCCACTAATTTTGTCACTTGGTCAAAGAATGCAATAAGATTTGTCTGGCATGATCTGTTTTTGACAAACCCATGTTGGCTTTTAGTAATGACTTTGTTTGCCTCTAGGTGTTCATTGATTCATTATTTGATTATCTTTTCCAGGATCTTCCCAGGTATTGAGATCAGGCTGATAGGTCTGTAATTTCCTGGATCCATTTTTTTTCCTTTTTTGAAGATGGGAACTACATCAGCTCTTTTCCAGTTTTGTAGAGGTTTTCTTTGTAGAAGGTGGCCAAAGTAAGCTTCCTATTTCATACCCATAATTCTTGCCAGATATACAGATCAAAGTTGAGATCAAAATCCCTGCTCCATGTTACCATGGTTTCTTTTACCTGTTCCTCATACATTGCCTGATCTAATAAATAATGATATAGCTTTTTAATCCTTTTTTCCTCAGTACCAAGTAATATTTTATGCTGCCCTATCAGTTCTATTTTTATGCCTCACTCTTTTTTATCTTTCCAATATCTCACCTGTAGTTGAAGGTATGCCCCCCATTCTCGTTCTATCCCTTAGATCAATGACAGTAATTTAAGGGAGATTTGTAATAAAATATATGCTTAGTTGTAGAAAGTGTTTTTTGAAGCTACCACATTGATTTTCTACCATTTTTTCACAAAATAGAATATGAACAGATCCACCAGGTATCAGTCTTTTATTGCATGTATGTTTTGTGAGGAATAACAATGCACAATTTTTAAAAAAAACTACCTTGAGTTGACTAAAAATCTTCAAACTATTTCTTGCACCAAAGTTTCCTACATTCTATAGCCAACACTTAGCAAAATCTAAAGAATCTTATTTCTTCTACCACAACTAGAAATATTTGAAAGACAGAGTGGCTTACATTAGAGATACAGTAAAGCCTTTTGCTCATTTCAGCAATTTGAGGGGAGCTGCCTAAGATTATAAAAAGAAGAAAAAACTCTTTACATGGCATGTCATAAGGTTTTACACAAGGATGTTCCTTCAATTTCAGTTCATAAAAATGATAAACTATATTGGATGCCATGCCACCAATTAATAAATCACCACTCTGCATGGAGGTCTATAAGGGGCTGCCCTTGAAAAGTATCTGGAAGCTCCAGTTGATTCAAAGTGCAGGGCCCCGTATGGTTTTATGCACACCCAGATTATAAATATGCCACCTTTCTTATGGGAGTTGCATTGGCTGACAATTTGCTTCCGGGTACAATTCAAGGTACTAGTTGTCACCTTTAAACCCTACATGGCTTAGGACCACGTTATTTGAGGAACTGTCTCTTCCTGATCAGATCCACGTGATCCAGTGGAGCAAGGAGGCAGGCAATGTTTATAATGGCCCCCACTTTTTTATTATAAATTTTTACAATTTTACAATAAAAACCCCTTCCCAATCCCTCCCAACCCACCCCAAAAGCCTCCCTCATTCTTCCCAGAGCTGAATACAGGGTTAACCAGAACTTAAAAGAAAAAACTTTTAAACTCAAATAAACCTCAAACAAATATGATTACATTCAATAAACAAATTGTTAAGTACTTTAACTCCATTATGTATAAAAAACATAAAGAGAAAAAGAAGAAAATAAAAAAAAATAACAAAAGGAAAAAAAACTATTCTACACTTCTAAATAATATCTTAAACTTTAAATATAAATTATTCAAAAGCTAAATGATATTTTCTTATATCATACTTATATTGTATAAAATTTATCCATCTTTTCCACACCAAGAGATACTTCTCTTGTGATTTATCTTTCAAAAAAGCCGAAATTTTTGCCATTTCAGATAAGTAAGAAACTTTAAGAAACCATTCCTGCAAAGTAGGCAAAAATTCCTTCTTCCAATATTGTCCTATTAACAACCTTGCCGCTGTAATTAAGTTTAACATTAAAATAATCTCTTTGTCATCACAATCAGAAACAATACCCAACAAAAACAATTGTGGGGTAAATTTTATCCTTCTTTTGAAAATACTTTGAATATTCCACCATATCTTGATCCAAAAGGCTTTTATACTTTTACATGACCACCAGATAAGATAATACGTTGCATCCAAGCAACCACATCTCCAACATTTAGGCTGCAAATTTGAGTATATACGACACATTTTTTTGTGGATCAAGGTGCCATCTATAAAACATTTTATAGAAATTTTCCCGTAAATTTTGCGCTTGTGTAAATTTAACATTCCTCACCCAAATAGTCTCCCATGTATCTAATAAAATCAGTTCATCAAAATTTTGAGCCCATTTAACCATACAATCTTTAACTAATTCTGCTTCTGAATCCAATTCCACTAATACACCATAAATTCTTTTTATGTGGGTTCGGCTTTGATCTCTAATTTGTTTTAGCAAGTTCTCATCCTCTCTAAGCAAACCCACTTTATAATCTATCTTCCACCTTTCCAATAATTGTCTGTACTGAAACCATGAATAATTAATATTTTCTTGTGCTAATTCATCTATGGATTTTAATTGCCAATTTTCACCATCCCACTTAAGTAATTGTATATAAGAAATTCTGTCCATCTTAACTCCTTTCCTTATACCTTCTATTGCATGCCATGGAATAGCCCATAATGGAATTCTTGAATCAATTCTATAATATTTCTTCCAAACCCAAAGTAAAGAAGTTCT